GCTATACAGAATATATCTTTTGTGACCAGTTACAGTAGTGTGTTTACCATTTTTACCAGCACTAAAAACCCTCCATTTATATTACCAAGGTCTTAAAGCAAACCACTCCAACTATACGCTGCAGATAGAAATACTGCAAAGGCATAAAGGTCAGCCTGACTGCAGAGTTCCTTTTCAACAAAGTTTTACTTTATTAATGCTGTCTCTGACTCTCTTGGGCTTTGGATCAAATCCCAGTTTAGACAAAGTATCTTTACTGGAAAAACAAACAAAAAAATCCCCAAAGTGAACAGACTTAGTAAAAATTTGATTATATAAATGAATATATTTATATTAGAGATTTATACTGGTGATCTACTCCAGAATTAGATTATTATTATAGTATTGCCTAACCCTGAAAGTTAATGTCACTGTCATGCCAGAAGTGCATCTTCAAAATCAGCAGAGTAACTATTCATTTGTACGGCGCAGAGGACAACAAAGTAAAACCACATATATGTTGCAACATCAGATTAGAATGGATGTTTCTCCAAACAGTAACAAATGTTGGGCAGAGTGTATTTTATTGACACCTTTAAATGTTCTTAACATTCTCATCATGATTTACCTGATAAGTCTAAAGGAAGTTCAACATGAAAGCTACACAATGTGAAATGTTTTGAGTGAAACTCGGAAATGTTTGTAGCAATTTTAAAAGCAGGTATTAGTTATCGGCTCTCACAATGTATGGTATCATCCATATTTCCCTGAGAAATCATGCCCTGCAATAATCATGTAAAACAAAATACAGCATTAATGAAATAATGGATTAGATAGGGGAAGTAATGCATAACAACTGTTTTCGAGTGAACACAGAAATGCTACTGGAGTCATAACTATTAAATTGCAGGCACTACACATGACAGCCATAACAGAAATGGTAACTAACTCAAAGCTTGTCTCAGATAAAGAAAGCTGATTAGAAGTACCATAGAAGTTAGCCATATAACTCAACATTATGATATTAACATTAGTTTGTTTCTTGATTTTTTGAGCATGCCACTTCTTAACTTAATTTACAAACACTCTGCCTTATTGAGGCCTGTTTTCATATGAAATTTGAATGTGTGTCCATAAACTCACTCTATGAACAAAATTTAACTGGTTTTCTCCCTCCTCTGATAGCTTAGTGTAGCTCAGTAACTTAATTTCCCTAAGATAGTAAGATCTTTCAGGAGAGAATAGGAACGATAACATTCAACACCAAGAGAAATGGAAACAAGAATTACAAAGAAATCGTTTTGCTACCTTATTTAAAGCCATCATAGCTGTGAATAGCAGTATCTAGACACAAGGAGCATTGTGAAAGGAATGACAATTACAGCAGCACACACCAAAGAAAGTGATTTGCAGTATCCCCTATTTTTGTTAGTATGTTCCAAGGAAGTTTGACACACACAGACCAGCACACTGGGTCAAGTATCAGCTGCAGCCCCACAGTTCAAACACCACCTCTGATTAACAAAATACTTCAGCATCTGCCACACCTCACTGAGATACCCAGGAGTGCCTCAGCCACCCTGCTTCTGAGTGTGTGTGTGCAGTCCACTCCAGTCTAACTCCATGGCAAGCCAGGCCAGTCACACAGTACAGCCCCTGCCCTCATACAGGGATTTCCATAGGCCAAAAGCCAACAAGCAGGATGCAGTGAACACTGGGAAATGGGAGCATCAGGCCCTTGGTGCCTCCAGCAGCATTCATGAGCCCCAGACTTTGCAAGTAATTGCTAATGTGGCATCTCAGTCCACTGCTGAATTAACATTACATCTACAGCTTGTAGGGAACATAATTTTCAGCATGACTGAAATCTAACACAAAGTGGCCAGAGAAACTGAAATCCTTTTTCTCCTTTGTCCTGAACTGCAGCACACTGTGTATCAAATAGACTCACCAAAACCCTAAAACCAAAGGCATGCTCTGTAGCATTTGGCAAATTATCGGCATTTCCTTCATATATAAAAACCAAACAGCTCCAAAACCTTAACTGCACACACAGAAAAATTGTTGGTTATCTCAAACGATTACAGGAATTAGTTAAACTGTTTGACAGAGCAACACGTGGTATTCATTTTCCATCTTGCAGATATGGGAAATCACTGTTCCTTAAGCATCTAATGACAATCAAAGAAATGCTAGACATAGAAAAAATTGTTATTTTTTTAAAGTGTATGTGGTTCCTACAAGAAATATGTCAGGATAAAGACATTCCCAAATTGAAACAGTAAGAGCAATGACAATTTACACCAGCACAGAGAGGTAAAGCATTGATGAGAGAGCTCCTTCACATTCCAGTTGTGTGATGAGGAAGAAAAACCCAGCACATCTCCATTTCATCAGAGGTACCTGAGAATCAAAGCTAAATCTCTTGTGCATTTACCAAGCACCCATTAGAGAGTTAAGCAATTTACATTTCAAATTAGACAGTATATTTATAAAATATTATTGTACTAAAAATCACAAGATTTTATAGAAAAAACATCATCACATTCTATTAAATGCAGGAACAATGTTATATGTCATAGCTTCCATAATTAAAACCGTAATACGTTTCTTGTAACTACAGGGGCACCACTGTTTAAAAATCCTTTCAGGAAGGACAGTTTGCTTTGTTCTTATTCTTTAAAGAACTGTAATGTAATGCAAAAACACTGCTTAAGCTACTTAGTGCCATGAGATAAAAATATCTCATATCTTATAAAAAATTAGCACATTTTTGTTAAAAACAAGAACAGTGGGAAGGCCCTGACTGAGTTTACTGAACGCTCTTCAACATTCCTGGGGTCAGAGACAGAATAATATTCTCTTAGCACTTATTTTTTTAACCTTTCAAACTCATGAATAATGCAAGTTAACAGCAGTCATATACGTGGGGGATTACAATGATCTTTCACTTTAAACCATGAACATAAGGGCAAATATGAACAGCAAGTGCCCATTTTACATTGCAGCTCCAATTCTATTGGTATGGTCAATTTCAAAGAACAGTAATAGAAAATTTTGCTAAAAATACTGTCAGTGCCCATCTGAAAGCAAACTCAGTTTTCCCAGGCTTAGTTCACGGATTGCACAAGTCCCAGTTGATCCAAATTTAGAGTTAATGCCTGGTATTACATATTTTTCAGGATCTTACTGAAACATTTCATTAATTGAAAACAGACATTATCTTTTTATTGTGAGTAGGCATTAACATTACTTCTAGGAAAAAAGTTGAAGCTAACATCCTGTAATTTGTCATAATTTAAAAAAAAAACCAAAACCAACCAACCAACCAACCGACCAAACAACAACAACAACAACAAAAATCAAAAAACCTAAGGAAACTCCACTTATCAAAAAATCCCTGAAAATACTACCAAAGTAAAATTACTTCAACATACTGTACTTTCAACCCCTCTACTTGTGGAGTTTGGAAATTTAAATGTGGATTTTTTCAAAATGTCTACATAAACATTTTGTCTGCTTTGGGTTTGTGATTTTGTTTTGGTTGGTTTGGAGGGTTTTTTAATTCCTATTTTAGTGTCCAAAGAAAGGCTTATTATCTCATGTTAAAGAGATGCTTCAGATCACCAAAACTTTTAATGCAATCCAGTATTAAAAATGGGAAGGAAAAAACTGATAAAGATGAAATATTTGAACAGAATAGCAGCCAGGTCCATTTTTTCTTCTTTCTCTATTAAATTCTAGCTGCTGGCTAGAATTTTTCTATAAATGTACAGCTAAGCATATTGCTTTCCTGCATTCTCTCTCATATAGTAGTTTTATGACCAAAAGACCAAAATTTCTTTTGGAATGATCATTACTGAGTGCTAAAACACGAAAAGGCATTTCTGTTATATCATCCTTCTGTATTTGTGTGGAAGGACAGTAGAAATACCCCACATTACCCTACCTTGTTATGTGGAAGAGAATACTGCTGGCTAAAAATCCATCCTACATTCATTATATAAAAATAAAATCCATCAAAAGCCAAAATTAACTTTGATCTAGCTGTCTTATAGGCCAGAAGTTGGAAAATGGCATTGATTAATTTCAAATATTCCTGAATATAATTATAATAGCTTCTCAGAATTAAAGAGGATAGAAACACTGCAGTGGAAGGAAGATAGAGGTTGTAAGGAAAATTACCAGTTCTAGAATAAATTTATTAATACAACTGGGGGAAAAGAAAAATCAATGTAAACACCTTTAGCTTTCAGATGGTTTAGCAGATTACTGTAGTGCCAACCCACTGACTGAAAACCTTCTCAATTAATTTGAACTCTTTTGCAACTTGGCAGCTACACACGTGAAAATTTTCACGTCTGTGAGATAACTGGGAGTAAGAATGGGTTACAGAATAAGTCTGCTTAAAACAAACATTGCTTTTGAGAATGGACACGCAAACGTATTGTAAATAGAAATATTTCCCCATTCACTGAAATTTCAAGCATTCCAGATTGTTGGGCAGCAAGATTTTTAAACATCGGCACCCACTGCTATTACAAGGCTTCTCAAAATGGCCTAAGACAACATGTCTGTAGTGTTCCAGGACCGTATAAAGATCCTGCCTCAATAATCATAAGAATGCACTTAATAAATTATTTTTTCTGGTTTCCTCTATTAATATGTAAATAGTTTATACAACATAAAAAAATTTAATTTGTACCTACTACAGGTAATGTATCTATTAAGCTTTTCCTCTGAAAGCCTATAAGATTTGATGACCTGCGAACTTATTTACATAACTCACTTGAAAGTATCTTTTAAAAACAAAATTGTCCAGCATTTAACAAAATCATGAGTTAAAAAAAGAAAGAAATCACTTATCAGCATTTGCTTTCTTGATTTTGTCAAGTAACGTCACCAGCTCAAGTGTTATAAGGCAGGTTGGTTGCTCAGATGGACTAAGACTCCCTATGGTGATAGGCATAGAGTAACTTTGTTCATTTATAAAATCAGATGAAAGCAAGAAAGAGGAAAAGTTTAGAGTTTCAAAAGAACTGAAACTTCTTATTTTTACTACAAATTCAGAATAGGCACTGAAATATGACTCCTTAGGGACTTTTCCAGAAGATTGTCTCTTCGCTGGGCATCATTCCATTTTTAAACTAAGAAGAAGAAAAAAAAGTTATCAGGGGTACATAAGTCAGGATTTCAAAAAAAGAATCACCATGTATATTTGTTTCCATCTTACTAATAAAAGAAATAACTCCTAAAATAAAAGAAACGTCTTAAGCTTAAGACATCACAATTACTGTTTTGGTTAGAATGTTTTCAATTTCTTTATTCAATTTAAGCAATATTAGAAAATAAAAATATACTTCTCATGTAATTCTGCACGCATTATTTGAAAACTAAAGCCCTGAAGCACAAGGCTAGGAGAGTCCTAAACTATGTCTGTACTGACCAACAGTACTGACCAACCATGTAATGTTCCTTTTAGATGTTTGTGTAACCCCCTCTTAGAGAGGGATATTTTGCAAACTCTTTAGCTATTCTATTCCAGTTTCCCTATGGTTATAATGAGAAATATTTGCCCTAATATTTAATGGAATTTAACAACTTAATTCTTGTCAACTACAAACACAAGGGCTCCCTTCCATTTTCTGGACCCATAATGATAATGTCTGGTGATGTTCTCTGAACTTCCTTAAATGGTTGGTGTTTTTCGTGAATTGCAGTAACCCAAATGGAGACCCCAACAGCATTAAGGAGTGCCAATATTATATGAACATTTTAATTAAAAACTACTTCTCATTTCAAAACCATTAACCAAAAACTGTATCAATGTGAGAATAATGCTTGGCAATGAATAATAATTTTGAAGATACACTTCAAAACTCTGTCCATCAGTACAGGACAAGACTAACTGTATGCTTTTTAAAAATGTGTCCTTGCATAACACAAATGCCACCATGGAAACTAACCCTCACCTTTCTGTGTATTGTTTGAGGTTTTTAAGCATACCTTTTGTCTATGAACAGCAACTCTCTCCATCTTGTGAAACACTATGCATAGGAATGAGGCTTTCACACTGCTCACTTTCTTCTGGCATTCTTAAAAGAAATGAATTTATTTATTTAAAGTAACACAGTATTATTAAATTGGTTGTTATGAAGCAAAAGTAATTAACTAAGTACACTAGTTGTTTGAACTGCAGCCATTAAAAACATGCAAAGACCCCTTAAGTTCATCAAGTATACTTAAGTTTGCACAATTTTCACTGCATATTCTGGGTACAGCAATTAACATAGAGGCATTAAGGGGAGAAACTGGGATAGCCACTAGGAAACTTCTTTTAAAAGGTAAAAAGACTTCACGTCTTTCCATTTTCTGAGCATTGCAGAGGTTAATAAATGGATTGGCAACTACCATTATTAAGAAATCAGTACTACTGAATATAAAATCAGGTGAAAATAAATAGAGTATGAGTACTGCAGCTTATAAAAAATATAGGTTAATGGAAAGGCTGGAGAAGAGACAGGATAATACTTTGTGACTGTCCTACCTCTGAATTCGATGTTTTCTACAGATAAAGGCAAAAACTCTTCTGATTCCCACCATCACTGGATCCCAGTTGTTATAGTGACATAAGAGAGTTGCAATGAAAAAAGAAAAAAATACAGGTACTGCCCCTGCAAAAAATAACCAGGAAAACTGCACCTGGAATTAAAACACAAACATCGTTCACTCAACAGTTAAAAAAAAAAAAAATAAAGGACATGCTGTATATTTAGGATAATTATTATTGTAAGTTTGAGATGCAGTTTGAGTTATTTTACACTGGGTGAGTTATTTGGTACAATTTCTACAGCCACTGCTGCTGCTAATATCTTTTTCCACTGATCCATTCTTTACAATGGAACACGTTGTTTGCATTGTGAGGTGAATGAAGACTCCTATTTCCAAAGAGTCTCATTTTTAGGTTTTTAGCTGTCTCTCTGGTACCAAGGAGAAAGTCCCCTAGACACTTCAGAAATCTTGAATAAGAGATCTCACCTGAAAGATTTGTGCACCTCTTTATTCACTATGAATATACTGTCACTGACCGGTAACTGCCAGATTCAATGCACATAAAAAGACTCTGCTACTTGAAATTTACAGTAATTTTCTTTTTAATTAAAAAAAAAAAAAGGCAAGGCACAAATTATTTGCCCAATTTAAACTAAATTCTACCTGTATCTATACTGCTACATTTATCTATCTATTACTACACTCAGTAGCAGTCTTCTGATACTGTTTAAAACTTAAAATTATAGGAGGTTACAGCATGGTGAGGCCCTGGCACAGGTTTCCCAGAGAAGCTGTGGCTGCCCCATTCCTAGAAGTGTCCAAGGCAAAGTTGGACTAGGCTTTGAGAAACCTGGTCTAGTGGAAGGTGTCCCTGCCCATGGCAGGGGCTGGAACTAGATGATCTTTCAGGTCCCTTCCAACCCAAATCATTGCATGGTTCTACAATTCCAAAGGAAGAGCACAATCAGCCTGGGACCTGCCTTTCAGGATGACAGAGCCATAAACTGTGGGCACAGCACCCTCGTGTGGACAAAATATCCAAAAGTGAAGAATTTGGAGAAAATTTGGTACCCGACATTGATGGTCACTCTCAAAATTCTAACAAACTGCAGTTGTTAAACCTTGTGTTTCCTTAGTGATTTCTAACAGAAATTCAGAAACACATAAATTACCAAAAGGAATACTTAATTAGTCATCAAAAACTTGGTTGTAATTTCTTAAGATTCAGATTTATGTTAGATTATTACAGAATAACACCCACAAAGTCAGCAATTATGCACATGGTATAACTACCATGCCATTTGACAGTCATACTAAGACTGCATATATTACTATTTCAATCTTTACATTATTAGCCATAACAGTGGCATTCTTGTGAAGGTTCCTTTTATGTAAAGACAAGGCTGGCCAGAGGCACTAAGGGAGCAGCTTGAAGCTTAAATTTCTATGAGCCCAACTTGGACACCTGAGACTTCAGCAAGCATAGGGCTTGGCTTGGGATATTTTGATGTTCGTATAACAGAGACACGCTTGCACAAATGCACTTCTACAAAAAACCTCAAAGTCTACAGAAGTTTGCCTTTAATTATGGTCACTCATCTCTGCTTCTAATACGAGTAATTAATCTCCTAAAATATAAGCCACAAAGGATTTACCTCCAACAGCAGGAGAAGATACAGCAGGAAGTTTACTCTGCTGTCAAAGACAAGACTTAATGCCTCCCCAGTGATCTCATGCTGAACAGGTCAGTACCAGAAGGTGGTAAAGACTTACATACCCTAAACATACAAGCAGCAGCCCCAAGCTCAAGCATCGAACAGGCAGAAAAGTAGAAGCTGGGACAGTAAGTACATAACAGCCAGGGGAAGAAGGAAGAACAGTAAAGCAGAATGCATATGTGAACAGGAAAAGGAACAAAAAATAAGAGAAGGAAACCCCAACCAGCTGCTTAAAACTAGTCAGGTTCTGTATCTGTCACAGAAAGGCAAAACAGCCTTTTCAAACAGAGAAAGAAAAATGAGAAGGAACAGAAGGTAGAAAGTACAGGGACCACAAACTTAAGAAGGAACCAACTGGTGGCAAATGAAAAGAATTGTGGATGAAATGGAAGAAGCAAGAAGATTCAAATAATGAAAGATGTTGCCAGCAAATAACCTGAGACAACTCACAGGAAGGTGAAGATTTAAGACAGGAAATAGGAAAAGAGCAATGCAGGGTGTACAGGAACTTAGACTGGTAGTTAGCTACATTTGTGGGGCTTGTTTAAATACTAATAATATAAATAAAAATGTGAGCGACTCTAACAGTGATAAACCATGAAAATCAGCTAAAAAGGTAATTTGCCCTTGTGTTACCAACATCAACTGAAAGTCATCCAACAGAACCCTAAAGAAGTTTCTGCTATTTGAAGTGCTCTGATACTGCATGAATACATGAAGAATAAATTAATTTTACAAGATCTGGACTCCGTGTTTACTCAGAATAAATAGCCTAGAGATTAAGTTGTTTACTGAGAATTAGAAAAGCATACTCTATTTGCAGTGTATCCCACAAGAAAGTTTAGATTAATCACTTCACAAGACAACCTAAAATTGTCATATATTGATATATGTAACTATATATATACACATCTCTAAAAATGTATTTGCACGATATGTGTATATATATATATAAAATATATCTAAAATATGTACTGATACACACACATCTACATACAAAACTCTTATTTTTTGCTACCAGCCTTAGTTCACATAAACCTAATTCAACCTCACAGAAGTGAATTTTGGGGGAGAAGTCTACAGATATTTTGTTCCTTGTTTCCTTAATAGCTTTCATGAGTTATTTCCCATCCTGTTACAATTTATGTCTCAAGTCTATATGAAGATGCTTTAAGAGCAACACAAATTAAGTTATCTTACCAACAAATGTTTTATTATTGTTGCAATCACTGCAATGTTTGCTCTGTTTCCATGCTGGAATATTCAGGTAATACTAATGCAAAACATACTGTCTTTCATACGTTCATTACAAAAGTATTTATTCAGGGTCAGATTCTCCTTTTATTTTCCAATTTGACTTTTCTTTTCTTATATTTATCCTTTTATTTTTTCTGATTTATTTTCCAAAATCCACATTGACCTTAAGTAAAAGTAAAATACAAGTTGTGGGTTTGGGGTTTTTTTAACCCCATTTTTAAATGCAGAAAATTTCAGAAGTCAAAAGATTCTCATTACAATTTACACTTTGCTTGTGAAAACATTGAACAGTAAAGCTTCCTTTTCACTGGAAACATTCCAAGCGCAAGACTTGACTAATTTCTTTTACCATACAAACAATACAAGCCTCAAAAGGAAAACCTCAAATGTGATGATTGAAATCAAGTCACAAACTGAACCACCACAGACAATGCACAAACTCCATTTGCTCTGGGGAAGACCCTACTCAGAGAGTGCTCAAGTTAAACCATGTCCCAGGCACAGGCAGCAATTTTCTCTTCTCATACTTTCACACTTCTATTTGCACAGACCTTAAAAATAAACAGCAATTGTATTTGCTACAAGAGTCATCAGCATCAAAGCAGTGTAACCAAGCAGCAGCTGGCAGAGCAAGGCCACCAGTCTACTCAAAATTTCAGTAGTATTGTATAGTTAGTTCTACATTTGGTCAGTTTTGCCCATTTTTATTGATATCATTTTTAGCTAAACTATTACCTGACTAAACTGCTCCCCAATTCACATAGAGATTTATCATCTCAGTAAAGAATTTCTTGTAGCTGCTTTATTCCTTTGTGGTGAACCCACAGGTTTTTGGGTTTTTCACTAATTGAGTATTTTCAAGATAAGCAGTCCCTACAATTCTGTAATTGTAAAGGTATGAATTTAAGGTGTGCTGTATTTGCAGATGTTCTTTAATTCTGAAAAGTGGCTGTTCAAGGTAATGTATCTGGCCAGGTACTGCTGATGACTTTGGGTACTTTTCATACAAGCTGGACTTTAATCAATTTTGTGCAAGAGCACACTCTCATGTGCAAAATTACTGTAACTGTCAATATCAAGAGAGTATCAATCACAATGCAGTTCAACAAGTATTAACAGGTGACAGAAGTAAAATACTGCTCATTGCATACATCAATAAAAATAACACTGCCACTTAATTTGAAGAAATAATGCTCAAAATGTAGAATTACATTACCTTCTGCATGCACATGTCAGCTATGATGGACAGAGGTATTGTAAGGCTTAGAGCAAGTGTGCCGATCAGTGATGAGGTAAGAAAGCAGCCCCTGAAAGACAATGAAATAATAACAGTTATAAAAAAATAATGATAATAAATAATAATTATAATACAAAGGTCTTAGTCAAAAGTTAAAAGACAAAGTAATACATCAAATGAGGAAGATATTTGATCAAGCTTAACAGTCATTGTTTGTTTTAATAATCAAAAATTAAAGCTCACACGCCCACACTCCATCTGTGAAACTGCTTAGAATTCCTAACTAGACAATTGATGCCTTTTGGGGTGAGGTTTAATTACCATATAAACCTTTTGAGATGATGGAAAATTCCCTACTTAACATTCTTTAACTTCATCTAGAAAAATCTGCATTTTGCTTCTATACCATGGTTCTCTATAGCACAAGAGAATACTCCTGTATCTCTGCACTGTCTGCTTCTGAATTAGAACCAGCCTGCCCACCAGAAAACTGTAAATTAATAAATGGCACAGAAACCTATAAAAACTTATCATCAGGTTAAAAAAAACCCCAAAATTAAGAGTCATATCTATCCCTACATTATATAGTTAGCACTATGTGGCTGGGTGGAGTAAACAAGTAGGTTAAATGGCATTATTTACTTCCAAAGAAAGTGAAGAGGACCATCCTAGTGGCACACTGGACAGATAAAAGGAGGATGTCAGCACAAGCCCTGAAATTAGTCCCAGTCCAAAACTCTAGGAAAAAGGAACTGGAAATAAAGCTAACGCTTTGATTGACTGGATTATCATTTTGAGTAATTACCCAAAAAAAAAGACTGTGCACACCCATGTACTTAACCCTATCCTAACACTTGATTTTGGGACCAGAGCCAATGTTTGGGGTTCTGGGAAATTTTGTTTGTTTGTTACTTCGCCTATGTTAAAATATTGCACTTAACCTTTTTACCAGCTGATACTGAGCTGCAGTGTAATCTCACAGGATGGCATTAACATCACAAAAATATTCCATCAATAAACAAGTTTAATTCATAGGAGCAATGCATTTATAATTAAGACTGGTGTAAGAGTTTGCCAATAAACAAAAATTATCATGATTAGATTTCCTAAATAACTTTAAACTCAATCTGAAAAAAAAACCCAAAAAACAAAAACAGACACAAAAAAAGACCCCCACCCCCAAACAAAACAAAAAAGGTTTTCACGGAACTCCACCTACATCTTTTGTTGCAGTATTGTCACAGAACTGTTACAACAGAAATTCATGCTCTCCTATTGCTACAGCAACTCTGTACTACAAAGTGTTTTTGTCTCAAAATGTCAATTCTAAAATGAGCTATGCACACAGGATTTTAATAAATACTACAAGACCACATCACCTGCTTTTTAAAGTTAGCTGTGGCTTTTTAACAGGACACTGTGACATGATGGATGACATCCTCTAACTTAAGCTGCATATATGGACAGAAAAAAATTTAAAAGCAAAGCAAAACTGCCTACCCAGGCAATCTGGCATCTCAACATGTGAGAACACAGGTAAGATAATTTATGTGAATCATATTCAATGTATGTAGTACATACCACAGCCAGAGGAACTCTGACAGAACTGTTCCAATAAGGCCATTAATGACAATGCACATCCATATCAGTTTGTTGGGAAACTCAAATGCTTCAAACCCGGTATAGTGAAGCAGGAAGAATCCTGGCCACAGGAGCAACAGATTGAACAGCCCTACAAAACCTGAGTATAAAAACAGTTTTAAGTAAATCGCAAAGAATATCCTTCAACATAACCAAAATCCCATCTAAACTCTGACAACATGCATACAAAAAAAAGAGCAATGAAGCAGTATTTTAAATCTTTCAAATGAAATTAATATAAGAAACTTTACCTGAAATTCACAAACAAAAATTGCATCAGATATTTACAGGTTTTAAATTGAAAATAAAATTTTAGAATTTCATTAAGTCAAAGGGGCTGTCTGCATTCCCACGGGTAGTGTTACCTCTCATTATTAAGGCTTTAAGCAAGAAACAATCCACACAACCAGTATCTAAAGTACTCCTAACAGGAATAACAGGCTTTCTCTACTTCCTTGGCTTTTCTAAGCCCCTGATATACAGTTCCGTGCCTGAGAGCAAACAATTTAATTACACACTGAATTAAAATGTTGAATAGAGTTATTTTTAGTCTTACCAAAGAACATTGGTATGTCAAGTTTATCTTCTCTATCTACTTTCCTTTTTATCATTACTATGTACACAGCATATAGCATGGCTCCTACAAGAGACCACAGGGAACCTGGAAAGATGGAAAAAAACACTCCCTTAAAGACATGCTAAGCACGTTATGCACAGTAGGATCAACTCCCCTAAACACACATCTATTACAAAACCATCACTGAGAAACTGCTTATTACAGAATCTCCTAATATATGAAAAGCATGGAAAAATGTAGAGCTCAAAAATGTAAATACTTTCCCAATTAAGCTATATACATAGGGTGGAAAATTATCATAAATGACGAGTTTCAGAAGTTCAAACTAAAATGCCAGATTGTAGAAGGTTACATGAGTAAGAAATATGGAGCTTGCTATATGACTACTTAGTACTGTCAGAAGATGGTACTCATCACTGCATGTTCCAGGACTAAAAACTGTAAGTAAATACCTATTGTATCTTTTCCAGCAGATTTTTCAGATCCAGAAAGGTTAACAAGTACCACACCACCAATGCTAGCAAAAGAAAAGAAATGCAAAAAGCTTCTTAAACCCAGGAACTTTTTGACAAATACAGAAAAAAAAAGAGAAAGAAAAACATAAAAATACAGTTCTATCTTTAGGCATTTTTATTTAATCAAAACCCACTTCTGGAAAGCCAAAAGGAGTTCTCTATTGCTCAGGCCTGATCCTAAGCTAAAATCAAACAAACCAACCAACCCCACTTTTAACATCCAGAACAATGCACCAGGCATTTAATGAAACAGGCTGACAACACTGAATGCCAAACCACTTCCTTTTTCCCCATCTACACAAAAATAAAATAATTAAACAAGAAGAAAATAAGTTCACTTATTTCCAAGAATAACCTGGTTAATTTAATTTCCTACAGGAGAATGAGATTTGGTAACTGTCCATGATATGAAGTATTTAAAAAGATTTAATTCAACTTGCTCAATTTATCTGTGAAATGAGCATTTTTAAGAAAGTGATGTGTAGAATTCATTGTCACAGATACCACACGTATAGTAAGGTACAGTTGTCCTCTCACTGTATCAGACAATTTTTGACCAAATGTTCTATCCCATTATCTTACCTTAAAATAACAGCTAATAATTTGGACAGGGTAAACCGATCTCCACTGTTACTGGGAAAGACTGCAGCTAAGATTAATGTAAAAAGCCCTGCAAGAGAAATTAAGAGAAGCTTATAAAATCATGTTTTGCCACCAGTTTGTTCAGAAAACTGCACAGACATTTTCTTCTTTATATTTCATGTACTTGTTTTAACTACATGTTCTTAACATCTTTCATTTTAGTCAGAACTATTATGAAAACTAACACCTTGTGATGTGAATCCTCAGAGGAGCAAATAAATGGTCAGCTCTGAAAAAGGCCAGTCATACTAACAAAATAAACTGCAATAAGCCAGAAAAGTCAGTGAAAGATTGTATAATTCTGTTTTTAAAACTGACTTTATAAAACAAGAAAAGTTAATTCTCCAAATATGTACTGTCACATAGTTTAAATACTTTAAAGCTTGTATTAGAGCCTTGCATAAAACCTGTAAAGCAAATGATATGCATAATATTTAGGTGGTTTAAGTTCTTTACCTCTAAACCCATTTTTTACAAAACAATCATTAGCAAGAAAACTTTGCCCTGAATCTATTTTGATAAACAGTTATACCACCTTTCCTTTAAAGTTATTACATTCCCAATACATCTTTTTAATACATAGACATAACTGCAGAAATAATACACGAACTCAAAAAGCAGGAGAACATGAAGGCACCCTAAACCTCTGCAAATACCTAATGACTTTGTTAAATGCATATATTCAATGGCTTTTAAGCCAAAACCACAGGTAAAACATTACACAAGTCCATTGTAGCAAAATAGATTTTTATGTTATAAACAGCCTTAGAAGGCACATCTGGTGGTGTAAATAAATCTTACCAGAGGTTGATGACAAGATATTAACTATGGCAACTTGGGTATCTGACAGAGCTTCTTGGTAAGAGAAATTTGCCAAGAACCACTGGGGAAAAAGAAAAATAATTCTGTTATATGAGTAGCAGCAACAGAGTTGCTCAGTGCAATAAAATTCTACTTAAAGCAAAAAAAAACCCAACCGCTCATCCAAAAATAAAATCAGAACACGATTTTTACCTTAAAGTGATTTCTAACTTCTATTAAAGGGGAAAGTACATTAAAAGATAGCAGCACACTTAGAACTGGCCCAAACTAACCATATAAAAGTACATGTTTAATAATGAAATAACATACTTCAGAACCTAAAAATAATTAAAATGACATTATAATAGCTATTCTGTAGTAACTAAAGGTACTTTTAACTTGTTTTGGAAGTGCTTCCAGACGATAACTGCACAAGGGCTGCAAAGAAATTTCAGGAATGCATGGAACATTAGTCAGCCTAATGAGTTTAAATTTTTAGAGTACTTAAAACCCTGGACACATCTTTACTGTAAAAAGCAAGCATCACTTATATTCAATACCTAAAAATATTTGTTAATCCTCTCATAAAGGAATAAAATGGCAAGTGTTTACTCATTTATTGATTGAGATCTCATTAATAAGATCTCAGATATATTCTGAGGGAAGTAACCACTCTCTAGTCTTATGTGGAAATATTCATACAGCCCAAGAAGAAATACATATACGTGCCAGTAACAGCACGAACAGCATAAACAGGATTTGTTTTGAATATTAAAACACTACCCCAGAAAAAATTAAATCACCACTTTCCAGCATTGTTATTATTATTGATGATGACAGTAATAATAATAATAATAATAATAATAATAATAATAATAATAATAATAATAATAATAATAAT